CCACTCCCACAAAGCAGGCCACACCTACAGAAGAGGTTCTAAAAATTTTTGAAACCCACCACTGTCAGAGACACAAAAAATAGAATAAGCTTCCCACTGAAGTAATGGAGAAACATAATAATTCCCATATTCATCTTATTTAGATATTGTCTATGTGATACTTTGGACGTGAAAGGTATTGCATAAATACAATATAAACATTGAATTGATGTTTGCTTCTGGGTATTTTGCCATGTAATAAATAGGTATTTGAATAAACAGGATTTGGTATCTTTAAAATTATTGCTAATATATGTTGTTTCACTTTTTATTTGTTATACTCCAGTTCATTTGGGCAAGAAGCTCAGGAAATCTTCCTGTAACAAAATATATCATGCTGTTACCCAATGCCTCCTTTTTTAAAATAATGCTTAACAACAACAAAAAAGGAGACGGAGGAAAAAAAATCTTAGTGCTGTTTAGATATGCAAAACCCCTTGACTTTCGCAGCCATCTCTTATTTGGGATTCAGTTATTTTGTAGAAGGGAAATGCTGCTGGCAAAGGTTTTGGAAAGAAGGAAGTGGTTAAGAAGGGAAAAGCCACTTAGTTCCGCTTTTCTTCAATGCAGAACACTTTCAGTTATCACATGGGACTGCAGTGTTTCATAAAATTTGGCCTTTGGGGAATATCTGTGTTGTTGTATCCACTGTAATAAATTCTGATTTTATCTAAAATCAGATATTGACCATTCTGCAATAGTCTGGATTAAAAATGTAAAATTCAGGATTGAGTCCATTCAGTATAGTTTCTATAGTAAGGGCAAATTTATTACCGGTATACATTTATCAGCTGTGGTGGGGACCAATTTTTGTTCAATTTGTACCATATATTTCTGCATTCTTATATGCGGCATAATGTAGGTTTTTACAGCAGATTATAACACAACTATAAAGCTTGCATGGAAACTGCAGTGGATTAATCCATATACAGGTAGACCTCGAGTTACGACGACAATTGAGCCCAAAATTTATGTTGCCAAGTGAAACATTTATTAAGTGAATTTGTCCCATTTTAAGATATTTCTTGTCCCAGTGATTAAGTGAATCAGTGAATTTGTTTAATAACGCGGTTTTTAAGTGAATCTGAATTCCCCATTGACTTTGCTCTTCAGAAGTTTGCAAAAGGGGATCACATGACCCCAGGACACTACAATGGTCCTAAATAATGAACTAATTGCCAAGCAATCAAATTTGACCCTGTGGATGCTACAATGGTTGTGTGAAAAATGGTCGTAAGTCACTGAAAAAAGTGCCATTGTAATTTTAAATGGTCACTAAATGAACTGTTGTAAGTTGAGGATTAACTGTACAAAGTTCCTTTAGTTCAATGTTATCAGCCTCAGCAATTTTTTAAGATGCATGGAATTCAACTCTATGAATGTGGAATTCTGGGAGCTTTAGTTGCCAGTTCATTTTTGGCCTTTGAAGGACTTCTGGAGGACCAGGAGAGGTCATTTTCACCTTCCCCAGGCTTCAGGAAAGCCTCCAGAGCCTGGGGATGGCAAAAAACGGGCCTACCATGCCTACCGGAAGTTCTAGCCTCCAGGGGGGGTGGGGGGCATTTTCACCCTCCCCAGGCTTCAGGAGGCCGGGGGGGGGGAGGGTCGTGCATGTATGCACAGCGGGATGTGAGGGGGTATTGAATTATGGGTGTGGGCATGTGTGCTTTCGGCACCCAAGCCAAAAAAGGTTAGCCATCACTGTCCTAGCAGATGTTCATTTAGTCAGGATGCAAATTGTCAAAAAAAAAATGTTTTCTTAGATAAAACTTGAGAAGTGACACCTTTTTTTACTTTTAGAAAGAAAGAAGTATGACTTCCTCTGTGGATTGTATTGCTGAAAGCTTTGTGTAGGTTTAATGGTTAAGAGGCTTCCTTCAAAGGGGATTTCCATAATTTGTATTTTTATTTATTTGTATGTTTGAATCCCACTTTTATTACTTTTACAAATAATTCAAGTTGATGAACATATCCAACACACATTCGTTCTCCTTTCCCCCCCACAATAACAACGCTGTGAGAGAGGTTGAGCCGAGAGAGAGATTAGCCAAAATCATCCAGCTGGCTTTCATGGCTAAAATGGGATTTGAATTCACGGTCTCCAGCTTTGTAGCCTAATGATCACTAGATCAAACTGGCTGTCTGGAGTTGGCAAAAGACAATTATTAGATTTGTTCAATTGTATTCCACATGATAGTCTAGCTAGATGGATAAGTCTTTGCAGTTAAATAAGTTGTGTTTGTGGTGAGCAATATAGGTTTCAGTCAAATGATAGGAAAGAATGATATTCAGTAAGTCACTCTTTAGGATTGTATCTTGATTCTGTGCAAGAAATAAGTAGTGACGTGCGGTGGGATTTACGGTTGGTGAGGCAAGAGCGCAGTGGCGGTGAGAAGCAGTCCCCATCGCTGTCCCCAACAGAGATGTCTCGCATTTATGTCTGCTATAGACATGAGACGCCTCTGTCAGACACAGCAGCGGGGGCGGAGGAGGCGGGGGGCAAGGCGGCAGAGTGCGGCAGCGGTGAGAAGCAGCATCCCCGCTGTTGTCCCCGACAGAGGCATCTCGCGTTTATGTCCGCCATAGACGTGAGATACCTCCGTCCGACCCACATACCTTTTCCAGCTATGTCACAGAGGATTTCAACTCTCATCTTGTCTGCCATGATGAAAATGTAAAAAATGTAAAAAGAAAAAGGCAAAAGCTGCTGCTGCCAAAGCAGGACTTGGCGAGAGAACCACGTGCCTCCTTTGCATAAGGAATTTTTCGCCTTTTAACCCTTGCTTAACTCTGTTCAAGTGATCATAAAGCTAGACTAAAGGAGGCAGGTGGTTCTCTCACCTCTT